CGTCAAGTTTACTAATAAAACCTTTATGGGGTTTCAAGGATATAAAAAAATGATAAATTAATGAACGGACCTTATGCAATCATTTTTACAGGTGGTCATTATGATGACCACCCTGATGCTAGTCAGTTTTACCAATCACTCATTGATTCAAGTTCATTCTTTATTTGTGCAGATAGTGGTGCTGACCATGCATCCGAACTAAAAAGAACACCACTTTTTATAGTTGGAGATATGGATAGTGTTAGCCAAGAAACAATAAAACATTTTAAAAATGTAAAGCAAATTCAATTTAGGTGTGATAAAGACTATACAGATACAGAAATTGCTATTAGTAAATGTATTGATGAGGGGTATAAAAACATTGTGTTATGTGGCGCAATAGGAACTAGATTTGACCATTCTTTATCAAATGTACTTTCACTAATCCGTTTGAAAAATGAAGGGGTTGAAGCAAAAATAATAAATTATTATGAGGAAATATTTGTTGCCAAACCTTATACTGAGATAGAAGGAAAACAAGGTTGGACAATTAGTTTTCTTCCATTAACATCGTCTGTAACAAATGTAACAATTTCTGGTTGTCAATACTCATTATCTTCATCTAATTTACAGTTTGGCTATTCGTTAACAGTGTCAAATGTAATAACTTCACCAAAAGCAGTTTTTACATTTGATGAAGGAGAGGTTATTGTTGTAATTACTCGACCAAATGGAGTTGCTTAAAACTTATTTTTAATGAAATTTAAATAACTCAATTTTAAAATTTTAATTTTGTTATAATCAAAAATAAGAAAAAAAGATCTATTAATTTCTATGTCCAAACAGGTTACAAGAAAACAGTTTAGTAGTACTTTAAAAGCAACACAACGATTAGGGCGTAGTGCAGCAGAAAAAGCAAGTTCTATATCGAATGATCTTGTTCCACCTTTAAGTCAGAAACTTATTTCAAAAAATAAAGTTGTTATTCCGATAAAAAGAAAAAGTTTTAGAGTAGAAGAAAAAGGAAATCAAGAACGTCAAACAACCCCATCTCAAGAGCTTTATGAAGAAAAAAAAATGGAAGAAGAAAATCCTTTTATTGTTGAACCTGAAAATGATTTATCAGAAAGTTATATTAATGAAATATTAACTCAAAATATTGAGACTGAAGAAAAGAAACAAAGTAATGAAGAAGAAAAAACAATAATCAATGAAGAATTCTTAAAATCTAATAGTAGTCAAAACGAAGAAAAACAAGAACAAATCTTTAAAGTTCCTTCAATTGAGAAAAGTATTATAGAAAGAGAAAGGTTAATTTTAAAAGATGAACACTCAGAGATAAAAACTGATGATATATTTTTTAAAGATAATATAATGGAAGAGGAACTGACAGAATCAAAAATTAATCAAATACTTGATTTTTGCTGTAAACGATATCATTCTGGATTGAGTTCTATTCATTGTGTTGATATACTAGATAGGATTAAACTTTCATTAAGAATTGACTCAACAAATCAAACAATAAAAAGATTAATAGAAGTTGCGTACTGCCCTCAATTTAGAAATGAAGTTCTCAAAGAGGCAAGGTTTATTGATGGATTTAATAAACTAATAAAATCAGAAGATAATAATTCAAAGAAAAATGATATCGAATTATGTTGTGAAGGAAAGACATGTGAAGAAAGTTTAATTGGTATTTTATTTGAAATGTTAAAAGATGAGAGTAAAAAAAATTATGTTATAGAAATGTTTGAAGGAATATTTGCTTCATATCCAGTTGTATTATCACAAATATATCAATTTATTGTTTCTAAGAGAAGTAAAGGATTAAACGATAGTAGTCTTATTAAAATATTAGAATCAAAAACTATGTGGGGGTTTGATTGTAGTCCAATAAATAATGAAATAGAAAGTATTATCTGTTCTTTTTGTAATAAGAAAGAAAGTGATGAAGATTTTGATTTTTTGTTAAATGGGGTTTATGACATTATTATTTCTGAAAGTATTGAATATGTTAATCAAAATGTGTTATATCAATTAATTGAAACGTTACTTAAACTTGTTAAAGATATTAAAGATTTAAAAGAGTTTGTTTTATTTATTTTAAATAGTTAAATGAAAAAGAACAAATTCATTTAAAATAGAATTAGACATATAATAATAATTTCAAATATGATTGTTGATTTATGGAAAAATAATGATTGTATATTTACACTTGAAAATCAAAAAGATATAGTTATATTACAACTTGAATTAAAGTCTAATTACGTTGACAATGAATCTATAGATGAAGTTATTGATAGAATAGAAGAAATAATGAGAGATTTTAGAAGAGATATTTGATTGAATGTTTTTTATTTGAAAATTTAAAATTTATATTTTACTTTTTAAAAAATAACATAAAATAAACTTTAAAATTTATTTTTTTATTTCTTTTAATGGAACAGTTTGTCGATAAAGTTGCACTACAAGTAATTTCTTGTAAAAGTTTTACTATATTATCACATGGATATTTATTACCAGAAATATCATTAAGTGCAGTGCATAAAGATATGAAAATGTATTTATCACATAACAAAAGTGTTCCAGCTATTTTTCTTATTAACGCACCACCTCATATCTTTCATCACTTTAAATTATATTCTGAAGGTCTTACATTTGATAGTTCAACAATAAAAGAAATAAAAAAAAGAAAATCAGAACAAACATTATATAATTTTATTCGATCAATAGACTATAGTGGAGTTGATTCATCTTCAATTTCTCAGAGTGGTGTATCAGAATTAAATCAAGCAAGTGTTGTTTCTTCAATTGAAGATATTTATATTCCATTATTATCTATTGATTATAAATTAAGTGTTGAAAAACGAAAAGAATTATATAAAAATGGAGGAATATTTTTTATTACAACTCGTATTCTTATTTCTGATCTGATATCAAATGAATTCAATTGGAATAATTGTATTTTTTATATATTTGATATTGAAGATATTCAAAAAAGATTTAATATTTCTTTTGTAGGACAAGTCTTTTTAACGTTAACAAAAAATAAAGGACTTTTACGATGTCTAACACAAAAAACACATCAATTAGTTGTTGTTCCTAAAATTTATGAAAGAATAAAAGAAATATTTAGAATAGATAAAGTATTCTTCTTCTCTTATACATTTCCTGAATTAATTAAAATAAGAAGTGAATTTAAATTTTTTAATGTAATTCAACTCAAATTACAAATGGCTGACTCAATGAAAATAATTGAACAAGGAATTTTTGAATCAATGAAATATATTGCAATAGAAATACGTCATCGTTTAAACATACAGTCAAATGTATTACCTGATTCAATGTTATTATTTGGAGAATTTGAAAAAAGAATTAGTAATTATAATAAAGGTATAAATTATGATTCTGATATTGAGTCAATGTGTGTTGATATTAAAACACTTCGTCATTTAATGTTTTCATTATATATTCTAAATCCAGTTTTATTTTTTATTCAATTAGAAACAATGAAATTACTTGTATGGGGAGAAGACTCTTTGTTTTGGTTAGGAAAGAAAACAATGGAACTTGTAACTGAAACAACAAAAGCAAGACTTTGGAATAAAGATAAATTTTTAATAGAAAAACAACCGAAACATATTGAAATGATGAATATTATTAAACATGAAAATGAAAAAGGAAATGACGTCGTTATCGTTGTAAGAAACCAACAAACTAAACAAGAATTAATTCATTCATGGAATGTTGATGATGGGACACTTTTAGACATTTATCAACAATGGTTTGATAAAAAAAATGAATTAGAAAAACATATCAAAGAAATTCATTTAAAGTATAGAACTGATGCTAATTCAAAAATAAAAAAATGGAAATTTGTACAATCAGAAGGAATTAATTTAAATCAAAAAATTGAAGGAGAAAATGGAGAAGTGATTGACATAGATGATAAAGATGATATTAAACCAGAAGATGAAATTATTTTTGGATATAACAATGTTATGTATGAAATGTCACAAAAATTTTATTTAACACAACAAATGATTATAGAAGAGACTCAACAAAAATTAAGTCAAATGAAAAAGAAAAATGAGCCATTTAATTGCAGAGAATATAAAGGAAGAATTAATAAAATTATAACACAAAATGAAATGAATAATGAATTATTTTGGGATAAACCTAAAGCAATTATTTTATACAATTGTTCGTTGTGGGTTACAAGAGTGTTAGAAACTTATGTTCATTCAAGAGATGAAGAAATTAAACTATATTTATTATTTTATGAAAAGTCATATGAAATGATTAAATATCAACAAACAATTTTAAGAGAGAAAAACGCATTTGAACATTTAGTTAAAACTGAAATGAAAAGTAAAGAATTAAATATTAATCAAAAAGAAATAGAAGTTATTCCTATTCAAGATAGAGTTAAAACAATTATAGTTGATATTAGAGAATTTAGATGTGAATTACCTTTTCATTTATTTAATCAAAATTTTAAATTAATACCAAAACAATTAGAAATTGGTGATTATATTTTATCTCCAAATATTTGTATTGAAAGAAAGTCTGCTATAGATCTTGCTGGTTCTTTAAAATCAAGAAGAATTAATAAACAAATTCAAAATATGTTTAGAAAATATAATACTGTTGTATTACTTATTGAGTGTTATTCTTCTGAAGGATTTGAACAATACGATAGTTCAAAGACTGAACAAGTATTAAAACCTTATACTAATATATTCACACAATTAATTATTGAATTTCCTCAATTAAAAATTGTTTGGTCATATTCTCCTCAAATGACAGTTCATATCTTTAATGACCTAAAACAAAATGATTCAGAACCAACTGAAGAAGATTGTAAAATGATTGAAAGTGATGATGATTTAACTAATTGGAATGCTCTTGAAGTACTTAAACGAATGCCTGGAATTACTACTAACCAACTTTTTGATATTGAACATAATCCTAATCTTACATTTTCAAAACTTATACAAATGAATGAAGAACAATTAAAAGATATAATCAAAGACGACAAAAATGTTAAACTCTTCCATCATGCTTGTAACCTTCAATTTAAATAAAACTTTTTGTTTAAAAGCAATTTATTTTTAAATGTATTAATAATCTTAAAAAAACAAAATAATTTTGAAGAATAAATTTCATTATTAGTTGCAAACCTTTAACATATATAATTTTGTTGATACTGTATAATAATAATTACTATTTAAAGAATATAAATATAACAAGTATTATGCAAAAAAATAAATAGATTATTAATCATCTGATAAGGAATCAAATATTTATTAAAGTATAAATATCATTTCTTAAATGAAAGAAAAAATAAATAATAATGAATTTATTTTCTTTTTTAATTATTTAAAATATTCAAAGAAATAATAGTTTATATATCTGTTTAAATATAAAATAAATCAAAAAGCAATTTGCTTATTGTTTGTTAGCTGGAATAACTTCAGTTTTAACAGTAGTTGATTCATCCTTTGGAGTCTTAATTTCAACAACATCAGGAATTCTAGCAGCTGGTCCATTCTTTCCAGATGGGTCAGTGTCTAACATAATGGTGACTTTAATACCAATGATACCCATACGAAGGAGGACACATCTAACAGCAGATGAATAGAATTGTCTAGTAGCATTACCAGATTTGATCATATATCCTTCCTTGAAGACCATTCCTTGAGCTCTTTGTCCTCTTAATTTACCAGAGATGGAAACTTCACATCCTTTAGCACCTGATTCCATAATAAGTCTCATAACTGATCCAACAGCTCTTCTGACTGGAAGACCTTCAGCAATCTTATATTTAATAGATTCAGCTTGAGAAACTGGGCAAAGTCCTCTAGCAAGAACTTTTTCAACGTAAAGTTCAATCTTGTCTTTTGGGAATCCAAATCTGGCAATAAGAAGATTGGTTAATTCATGAATTCTTCTTCCTTTATCTCCAATGATGTTAGTGGTTCTTGTAGCTCTAATAATAATTTGGAATTTAGATCCATTCTTTCTAACTTCGACACCTGAATATCCATCAGCTGAAAGTTCTCTTTGAAGGAGTTCATTAAGTTCAGCATAGAAAACTCCATCAGCAACAAATTTATGTTTTCTGGAAATGTTAGTCTTGAGAACATCAACATTAAGGGCTTTGGTCTTAGTGAGGCAGAACATCAGTGTCACTTTTTTTTTTTTGTTCTTTGTTGAAATACCCTAAAACAGGGTTAATAATTAGAATTTAATAAATTAAATTAATATATTGTAAATTTAATTTAATTAATTCTAGTTAATGATAAATAGAATAATATAAAAATTAAAAAATAACAAAAATAAATAAAAAAATGTAATAGTATCATTAAAAAATAAACTTTAAAAAAATATTTAAAAAAAAACGATTTTTAATACAAAATAAGAGAAAATGCAGATTTTTATAAATTTTACAAAACAAAAATTATTAGTTTTTTAAATAAATTTCGAAGAAAAATAAAAAAAAAAAGAAGTAATGAAGAGAGGAAATAAAACCATTTTTAATTAAAAAGTAAAAATTTAAAAAAATAGATAAACTTAATAAACAACATGGAGTCCCCACTTCTTAAAAGTGTTTTATCTCTTCTTGGAGAAGATGAAGATAATGAAAAAGATGTAGAGTCTTTAAAGAGTCTTATTTATGATACACCATATGAACCAATAACCATTCAACCACCAAAAGAAATGATGGCAAATATGGAAAGACCAAATTCAGTTCCATTAAACAATGCAGTTTATAATGTTTGTTAAAAAAATGAATATTAATTTAATTCAAATAACGTACAATAAATATTAATGAATTTAGGCACCACCTTTTATTCCAAGAAGAAAAATTTCAAGTAAAACTACTTCTGCTAATTGTATTTCACCAAGCTTTTATCAGATGAGTTCAAGAGTTAAACAACTCGTTTCTAGTCCACCCACATATAAAAAGTCTAATAGTACTTCAATCACTTCTCATATAAAAATTCAACAAACTAATAATTACACAGTTACTGACTTATGTAAAGATCAACAAGGAAGTAGAAGAATCCAAACATTTTTAACTACTGCAAAAGAATTTGAGATTACAGAATTATTTGATAGTATCAAAGGAGATTTATATGAATTAATGAATGATTTATTTGGAAATTATGTTGTTCAAAAATTCATTGAATTGGGAAATGATAAATTGCGTCAATTTGTACATTCTATTATTAGAGGAAGGGTTGTTGAATTATCTAAACATATGTATGGATGTAGAGTTATTCAAAAAGTTATTGAGCGTAGTAATACAAATGAAAATGAACGTATTTTCAATGAAATTGAAAAGAGTATTATTGAATTAATTGAAGATCAAAATGGAAATCATGTTATTCAAAAAATTATTGAAAATTATTGGGAGTGTATAGAAAAAATTCTTTATGCTCTTCAAGGACAAATTGAAAAATATTCAGGACATGGATTTGGATGTAGAGTGATGCAAAGGATTATTGAAAAAAGATTTGACAATTTTAATAATCAAATTTTTCAAGAATTACAAGGTAATATTATTGTACTTTCAATGAACCAATTTGGGAATTATGTTATTCAACATTTATTAGAATTTGGTAATGACATTATTAGAGAAGCAATTATTAATGAAGTTGAACATGTTTTCTTTGAAAGCTCTTTATTAAAATTTTCTTCTAATGTAATGGAAAAGTGTGTTCAATTTGGTCCTTCTAATAAACAACAAATCCTCATTAAAAAATTGTTTGATTGTAGTGATGATATGATTTATAAAATGATGAAAGATCCTTTTGCTAATTATGTTCTTCAGCGAATGTTTACTATGATGAATAATGATCAACGTTTACAATTCTATACTTCCTATGTTCAAAGAAATATTACTTCATTAAGAAAGAACATTTATGCAAAGCATTTATTAAATTCATTAGATGAATCAATGAAATAAATCATTTAATACTTTGGATTCATTGAACAAAGATTAAGTTTTTATAGTTACACATAAATGATGCTTTTATTATTTAGTTTAATCTTTCATTTTACAATTTTTTTAAGTCTTTAAAAAAAAAAAGAAAAATGAGTAAAATAAGTAATTCATTCAACTTAATTTATAAGTAATTCAGTGATTTCTTTTTCAAAATACTTTTTTATATTATTTCTTTTAATTTTTAATGAAGGTGTAATTAGATCTCTTTCGATATCAAAAGGATATGGATGAAGAATAATACGTTTAACTTTTTCATATCCCATAAGCCCATGTTCAGTTGCTACTTTATTTAAATCATTTAATATCATTTCAATAATTTGGTGGTTTTTACAAAGTTCTTCATCTGTTTTGTTTTCTAATGGTGTTCCAATAATTTCTTTTCTTAAGAATATAAATTGAGGAACAACAATACCATATAAATAATTTAAAGTTGATTTACCATCAACAAAAATATCCTTAACATAGTTAGATTCTTGAAGAATATTTTCTATTTTCTCTGTTGAAATATATTCTCCTTGTGAAAGTTTAAAAATATTGTTTGCTCGTGCAATGATTTCAAAATCATGATCTTTACGATACTTAACAATGTCATTTGTTTTAATCCATCCATCTTTTATATGTTCATTATTATATTCTTCACTTTCTTTGTAATACCCTTTAAATCCAGCAGTAGTTTTAAGATATATTTCTCCACAGCACTCTTCATTTTGAGTACAAAATCCCATTTCAGGAACACACTCCATTTTTGCCATAACAGTTGGGTATGGTCTTCCAGCTACATCAAGATGAACTCCATTTGAAAATTGTGATGCTAATCCCATTCCTGTAGTTTCTGTTAATCCATAACCAATAAATAAAGCATCTACAATAACTATTCTAAAAAATTTAGCAATTTCTTCTGTCAAAGGAGCACCAGCACTTATAATAATTTGTAGTTTACCTCCAAACTTTTCCTTGATCGGACCAAAAAAGATGTTATCAAAACTTGGGGTTAAAGCAGTTGGTTCAAATTCTAATCGTTTTTCTTTTAAGTAAAATGCACTACTATAAATTAGTTGTGTTAAACAAGATGTTTCTCTTAATCCTTCCATTACTTTACTATAAATAGTTTGAAGAACTCGCGGAACAGCAGCAAGAACTACAGGTTTCATTAATTTAATATCTTCTACAAGTGTTGGAATACCTTGAGACATTAAACCAATAACTCCACCAAGACGGTATATTGTCATTTCTAAGACTATAGCAAAAACATGAGCTAGTGGAAGGAAAGATATACTAGACATTGGGTCAGTTCCTCTTGGATGTAATAACAAAAGTTCTAAAGGAATTCTTTCAACTAAACTTGTTGCACATGAAATCAAATTTTCATGAGTTAAAGGAACTCCTTTAGGAAATCCAGTAGTTCCACTTGTATACATTAATAACGCATCATCTTCTGGTTTAACTTTTGTTAATAAAATATTAGTATTTGTAAGTCCTAATTTATAGATATCAAGAAATGAAGTCAAAATTCCATCTTTTGAAGGTTGTTCTACTTCAAATTCATTAATAAAAATAATATTTCTCAAACAACCAACTTCTTCTAAAACTTTAATTTTTTCATTTGAAGTAAAAATATATTTAAGTTCTGCATGTCCAATAATATATTTAACAGCTTCTTTACCAAGACTCTCATACAAACTACAAATTCTTGCTCCAATATAACTACACGCAATAAAAAGATAATGCCATTCAAGTCTTCTTCTAGAAAAGAATCCTAAATTATCTCCTTTTTTAATTCCCATTTTAATTAACCCACGTGCAATAGTTTTTGAATATTCTAAAACTTCTTTATAAGAATAATATTCATAGTCTCCTCTTTTTCCTCCTGGAATATATTTTCTTTCTCCAATAAAAGGGTGATCTGGGTCATCTTCTACCCAGTGTTCTACTGCATCAATAGGGCTATGAATTAATGGATGATCTGAAACAAGTAATTTATTTCCATTTTTTTCATAGTCATCAGGATATATATAAACAGTATGTTTACTATGGTCTGTATCCATTATTTAAATATGTTTTATTCTTATAACATTTATGAGTTCATTCTAGAGATTGTTTTTCAAGTGACCCAGAAACGAGTGGAAGTTTCTCTCCAAATCTCCTTTTTCCTTACTTTTTTTCAAGTCTCCAACCAAACTTTCTCCATAACCTCACACTTTTTACTAATGCTTTAATTATTTTTTTTTCTATTTCATTTTACGTTATTGAAATTTGGGTGTCAAAAACTTTAGTTCCTAAAACATATCATCATAAACACAGATGGAATTTATCAAATTTCCCTGTTTTTGTATAAACGAAAATAAAAATAATATGAAAATAAAAACACTCTTAAATAGACCATTAAAAATAAAAAATGATATTAAATAACATTATTGTTTTATTTAATAATTTGAAAAACAAAAATAATCTTAAGAAGAGAAAAATGTTATTTTCTTAAACAAAACACTTGAATATCATTCACTGCAGCAGTACTCTCTATTTCAGGAGAAACACTATCTTCACACGAAGCAGCGTATAAACCACACACATAAGTATCTTTCATGCCAAGAACCTTTCCTATAAAACTTCTATCAGGTCGAAGTAATGATAACATACTAATGATTAGAAGAAATAATAAATAAATAATTAAGAAACAAACCCAGTAAAGTTACTAGAAACGTAATCTTCCCAATTATCGAAATATCGTTTGCAATTATCACAACCATCTCTTTGAAATTGTTCTTGACTCTTAATTAATCCACATATTTTACAACAGCGTAATGTATTAAAATTACTTGGGATAACAGGGTCCATTGATTCACGATATCTTCTTTGTTCGATAATATCATCATTGACAATAGGATCATCAATACTAGTCATATTAAAAAAAAAAGAAAATATATATTTTTTGCAGTTTTTCTTTTTTTATATTTCTTTTTTTATATAATAAAAAAATAATTTATTAAACTATTAAATGAATTAACTTTCATTATAAAAGATAAAGTAAAATAAACATTTTTTTGCTTATAATTCTTGTTGATAATCAGACATATAATCATCAACATCTTCCATTGCAATAATAACAAGATCAATGTTACTATAAAAGTACTTATGTTCATCGTCAT